AAAATGTTACTGAATAAAATATATAGTTGCAAAACCCTTTCTACTGAACTCCTTAATTTCTTGTTTTATGAGGGGATATTTTTGCTTATTTAGGTACTAATTTTGAATCAGACCATTTTTTCAAAATGAACTCATTTATATTTATATCATATCGTTCTAAGTAGACTTTGTTGTGTTAGACAATTATTATTAAATAAAACGAATGAAAAAAGTGACAGGTACGATATTTTTTTTAAATTCAAAAAAATAATTTAGTAAAAACCACAATTATTAAGAATGTAATCGGGAGATTAATATGTTCAAGTATACAAAAAATCATAATGCTTATAATTCATGCACTAAATGTTGCTCAAGAAGGATCTTATATAAATAACCCGTATTTGTTTTCCTGATTTAGAATTTATTAAACGTTCAGATGAAGATTTTTTTGCTACTACGCTAAGAGGAGCATCACACAGGAACATCTATTCTATGTAATTTTACCCAGTTTTGGTTTAGTTTCCTCATTTCCATTAGATTTGGCGCACCTTAATATTTCTCTGGGTTATGAAAAACTACTTGTCACACGGTGGTGCAGCACGGCGTGAAAATGACTGCCTTCATAAGGGATCATAGGCGTCGATAACATTCGGCCATTCCTGACTTTATGAGTGTCCCTCACTCCTCTGAATCACACTAAAAAGGGCAAAAATAATCCAAGAACCTTTTTAAATTGCATTTTTAAAAGCTGAAATAAAATATTGAATTAGCTTGTTTCCTGCTGATACTGGACAATTGATACAAAACCACTTTGACAAAACCTTATCAGCTAATTGCTACCATTCTTACATCACACTAAAAGGACAAAAAATAATCAGAATCGTTTAAAGCGACATTTTAAATGCTGAAATAAAATTCAGCAGTGTTTATATTATCTAGTTCAGACCTCACAGAACCTAAATTAATCTATGCAGAGAGTCTTTTAAAAATACTACTTGTTAAAAAGTTTTATTTCCTTTATTCTGTGGAATATATGTCGAATGTAACATCCATAATGTTAGATTGCATTTGGCTGCTGATACTAGGCAATTTGGATACAAAACCAATTGACTAAACCTTATCAATAATTGTTACCATTATCTCAACACTAAAAGGAGAAACATTATCAGAATCATTTAAAGGCTACATTTTAAAAGCTGAAATAAAATATAGTTAGATTGTTCACTGCTCATACTGGAGCTACGTCTTTTTGCTACTTAAATAAATAAAAATAAAATATCGTAACTCACTCAGAAACAATACCCAAAAAACTCATGATGGACAATATTAATTCAGGGACAAAAACAATTTCAAAAGATAAAATAAACGAATTACTTATTATATATTGGTGTTACACGCAATCTGCAGCTTGCGTGCAACAAAAATAATGTTAAATCTCAACTCTAAAATCTTAAATCTAAAAATCTAAATCTAAAAATTTAAATCTAACTATGGGCTCATCGCTCATTCCAGCCACTGAAAAACAAGGAGATTAAGGTGGTAGGAAGAAAATTCAAAAATGTTTGTGATTTTATAAAAAAAACCGCTGTCCCTCGTCAGAACCTCTGGAGTTTTTCAAGTGTCAGAATCTGATAACCATTTGTGAAATCTTGGTTATTAAGTGAGATTACATCAAAATATGTTAAATTGCCAAGTTCTAAATAACAGTTTTATTGTTTTTCCTTTATTGCATATTTCAAGTCAATTTTGGGCCCCACGCCTATTCCAGCCACTGGAAAAGAGAGCAATCCGAGGTCGAACTAACCAGACCGAATACCGGGACTCATCCCTATTCGCAAGTCTTGTCCGTCCCTACTCACCAAAGCGCCCAGGTGGTAAACTCATACCTTAGCAACCACCACACGCCTTTTCCAGCTATCATACTAACGTTTACCTTGAAAAAGAGAGTACCGGCGGGTAGAACTAACCCTACTTCTTCTTTTTCTCTATCCTAATACAGGTCTGAATCTACCATAACCAAATCCATAGCTTGCCATACCTAAGCTATTCCACAGTAGTTCTTGTTCTGTAACCTTGCATGCCATTCTAGGATGTTTCTAACTTCATATCAACCAATCCTCAGCTGCTTAGAAATTCAAATGAACCTGTCTTACCTTGGAAATTGATTGGATCCCTATTAGCTATGTCGAAGTGATCCTTAGCAGATCCTTAGTAGATCTTAACGTTGAATATAGTTCGCTACGCATCCAATTTTTTCTTTATTCCGCGAAGTGTCAACCAGTGTTGTAGCCAGCGACCCAACGTCTTCTCAGAACGACGTCGTGTCGCCCAGCCACACTGATTGACACTTCAACTGACCAATGAGCTTTAGCAGCTAAATTTAAAATTGACAGCTGTTTGAATTTTCTGCAAATCTGATTGGTTCTTTTTGACGTGTCGCTTGATATTTCCCATAATTCGCTACTAATTTACGCCGAAACTCGCTAACGTCGTGATCATTTACGCCCGGAGGGATAAACGTAATTTTTCTGTCAGATACGCTAATTTTACTCCTAGTGCTTAGATTCCTACATACAATCCAAACTGAATGTTTGAAACATTTTCAACCTAGATATCGTCATGCAAGTCGTTACACATGCTAGAAAGTATGCCTCTCTACTTGTCCCATTCCACGTGGATGTCAAACAGTATTCATGTACTTGAAATCATAAAATAAGGTTATATTGAAAATATTCGTTTTTTTTAGTAAAAGGGTATCCCTAAATGATTACTTTATTCGGGGTTGTAAACCTATATATTAACGTCGCATAAAGATTTAAGTACATACCTAGGTAGCTTAGTTTATGTATTTGGAATTAAAAATAATATTACCGCTTTATTTATTTTTGTTTACGCATAATATGAAAAGTGTATGCATTTTATATAAGATTAAGATAATCGGATTTGCTAGTTGTATATTACATTATACATTTTTGTTAACTATATACGTATACATATTTTACCGAAACATCTATGTTATTTCCGAGAATTGATATTTATTTTTATGTCGTTCTTGTAGTAGTTTGTTTTCAAGATATCTACAGCGTGTTTTGAAAATTACTATATAATAGTACTCTTGCGTCTAGAATTTTACCCATCTGTGACATGTACATGTATTTTCTAATTAAAAAGAAATTACACTTTATTAAAAAAGTAGCCCTGTGTACTTTAATAAAGGCTTCTCTGTTCAGACCTTCTACAAAGTTGGGTGATAAACAATAACTTGGGTTACTGGCCTAACACAAAAAACTTTAGTACTATAACAGCATTAATTATGGGCTGCTCTTTACCCGAAAAGGATACCTGGGATCTGTAAAAATAAGAATAATTGGAAAGAATAAAATTTATGGTCTTTTAACATTCAGCAATATTTGCATTTATTACAACACTATTCGAAGGGTTATTTGCTATTAATTATGGCGTATACAAAGATAAAGTTCCTGAAATACCTGGCGAAATACCTGAAGGAAAACTGAAAAACTCTGAAATATAATGAGGTGGTTAAAATTATATTATAATAATTGAAAACAATTATAATACTTAACTAAATTATGTGAATTTTTTGATATAATTCTCATATACAATTTGCAAAACCTGACGTTTTAGAACCTATTTAACTTTTCTACAAGGCATGCTTTCAAACTACATAAATAGGTACAAAACAAACGATAACTTTTCTTAAACTACTACATTAAAACAATCATCTTAAAATGAATTTTCAAAATATTAGATCGAAAATGGTTGTATACTAGAGGATTTTCATGAGGTGTCTATATTAAATTATCTGGCAATTAGTATACAGGCTGTAATATTAGATATGCCTTAATAAACGTTTGATTTGCCCCTAATATCCAACTTTAAATTTTACATATCTACTATTTCTCTTCTAAGTATAAAGATAATTACCAAGTACATTCATGTAACACCTAGTATATTTCTGATATAGCAATACTAGACTACCTAAAAGTTGAATATGTTTCAGTAAATTAAAAAATATAGCTGAAATATTAATAACACATCTATAACTAAACTTAAAGTAATAAAATAAGTAATAGAGTAAAATGGGGTATAATTAAAAATGTATATATGAAAAATATAAATTATATATTTATGAAACAATCGATAGCAGGTACTTCTAAAAACTGAAAACCTTTGAAGACATTTTTTACTTTGATGTTTAATATCAGTTTTCTTCAGATATACCTGTATATACCTAATATATTTTTTTTATTTACCTAATAAACAACGAGAATTATTAAATACATTTATTTTATGCGTTTATTCTAGATCTTTAGAAGTCAATCGACTTTTATTTAAATATTTGGTTTTAGAAAGCTCAACAAAATATGCTCAAAGCATTTCATAAATCATGTTTATTAAACCACCGTATCCACGTTTCTACCTTGATAAAGTTTAATGGAGAATTTAAAATAACACATACTCAACATAACTAATATACTAAATGACACATAACTCTAGAAATTTCCATTCCTCAGGAGGACCATAGATAGATATTTATTTAACTTTTTAATTTTAACAATAAAATTTTACTTTTACGTGAAAAACTTTCTGTTTATGCTGAGGTTCGCAGCCATCTTCTTTCGCATTTCGCAAGCGAAATCGACCCTTATCAACCGACTACGGTAGCGCCCTCTCTCAGAGACCTCTTGAACCACGAGGGCGATTCATATCACTGAAATTCAAAAAATCGAAAAATCCGAACAATTACTTTAAACTCAAATCTTTTACAGAGCACATAAAGGCAAAAAGGCCAATAGGCCAGTTTTTAATCACGAAGGCATTAAAAGGTATGTATTTTATTTTTGTTGTTGTGTCATAAGTGCTCAAGTGTTAAAGAACAGTGTCTCAATTTTAGTAGAACTTTTTTTGTATAAAGCCAAATCAAACATAAATCGTCATTTGCTATTTTTATTTATCTCGATTTTTTTCTAGCCACTTTATAATCGTACCTTTAAGAGGAGGTTTGTTCAGATAATGTGTTGGCTCACTACCTTTTTGCTGTTATCTTTCGGAGTTCTGTAACTTGTAAGGGGCGATATGACGCTTCTTTCCAGCACTCCATTTTTTTCCGCTAATATCTTCGGAGCACTAGAGCCAACAGAATGATCCCTCCGGTTTTCTTTTCGCGCTTCGCCGATCCGACGACGATATCCGAAATCCGACGCCCTACGGGTACCAGGTATCTGAGACGATCGATCACCGAATCGATCCCTCGAAACCGACGCATTTATGAAACGATATGGTCAAAGAACAAAGTCAAGTCAATAGTCGCTCAGTAAGCGTTACGGCCTAAGAACGCTGGATTAAACTCATCGCCACTTCTGATGCCGATACGGGAGATTAATATAATTAGCAGAAATAAATATTTCTAAAATATAATTCTCACTAGCTTGACAAACAATGTATTCTCTGGCCCGAAATCAACAAACTCTGACATTCAACTGTTTCTAAAGCCTACTACTCCCGCTACTGCAAACATCAGCGGACACGGGGTGCAGGCACGGCGTTTAAAATGACTGCCATATCATAAGGATCTCATAGGCTGTCGATAACAAGAAATTGTCTTAAAAACTATGATACAAATTGCATATATATCAATTTAATTTTTTAAAATTCACAAAATAATTTAGCCTCAAAGCTTATACTAATACTGTCTTAAGAACTTATAATTACAAATATGCATATCTATTTCACTCGACTTAAATTTTCATACAAAACATGAATTGACATAATATGGCATGGCTATTAATAGATATGCCCATGTATTGTGTCAAAAATTTTATTTTTTGCAGTGCAGTGGCGAAATACTCCATAAAGGATTTTTTGGAAAATTTTTTTATAATTAAGAAGTATTGTCAAATAACAGTCCCATCAGAATGTCCTAAAACATTTTATAATGCTCCTAAAATCATTTACTGCCCATGTATCCTTATGATCAATAATCCAACATCAAAAGGCTGGCCTAGGGATGAAACAAAAGTAATTCTTCCTCCTCTGGTTTTTGGATATTTTATATTAAACAAATATAACTCAAGATAGTATGTACATATTAAGTTTATACATAATAATCATAGCTAGATACAAAAAATATAATTATTTTACATTGTTGCATTGAAAATAGCTCTTTTTATTATGATTAAAAATACAATAATAATTTACAATAAGACAGTTTGTGTGTAATATGTGTAAGCATTGATAATTAGCCTTATGTAGTCTCATGTTTTAGTCTTTACATTATAATGTCTTTTTTATTTTAAAATAGTAAGACTAAATATAATGCCTGTTTAACAATTATTGATTTTTGAATAAAGAATGTTTATGTATATTTACATAAGTCTATCCTTGTTCGGGAGGAGGTTTCGCTTGCGCTTGCTCGATCTGTAAGCTACTTTGATTGGACAGTTCCAAAATCATATGTTATTATGTTTTGTTTTGGTTTTTATTTATTTTAAGTTGAGGTTAAAGACGTTCTAATGTATTGGAATTAAATCTTTCGAAAAATTGGAAGTTTTTTGTTAAATATTTTGAAATCAAATAAGTGTTTGATAATGTAACATTATGCGCATATTTATCAATTGAGATATTTTAATCGTATCCAACATGTTATGGCAAACACTTTTTCAACCAAAAGTTTAGTGATATCTTCGATTTAGTTATTTTCGAATTTCTGATTTTGCTTTCATGATACAAACGAACATCGAGAAAAATTTCTATTATTCATTTTGTTAGTTGGCTTCAATACCACACAAAAAAGCAGTAGCCCATAAATATTGTTCTATTAATTAAACTACAGAAAAAGTCTATATAAAACTAAATCACAAAATTGTCAATAAACGCACAAAGATTAAAATACAAACGAAAACACAGTACACGTGGAAAACAGAAAGTTAGAGAAAACTCTAATGGCGACTGCCCAAGTCCAAACTGAAAACTAGAGGTGGGTTGTGAAATCGCAGTCCGCTACTTTGTCACAGCTCCACCAACGTCGCAGTATGTGACTGCTCCAGTTCCAAGAAAATCGCAGTGACATTTCGGAGCAGTTTACAAGTTTAGGACATCTGCGCTCGTGAGTAGCAATAGGAGCAATAGCAGGCAATAGTGTAGAATTCTGAAAATGCTCCTAGCCCGAAATCGCCCGGTCAGATTGAAATTCCAGTCACAGCCGTCGTAGGTATCTGCAGTGCGATTCTGTAAACATTTCCCTGTCTAGTGACTCATCAATCGTGATACAAATAGCATAGGCTCGATAGGAAATTTCTTTTGCTACAGAGCTTACAGAATCCCATTGCTGATTTCTGTAAATCTTTTTCTAGATAACTTCCTGCAGCGTTCGCTTTTTTCTTTCATGAATCCTAAATAAGATATTTATGTATTATATATTAATCACAAACAGATGTTTTTTTGACAAAAGGTAATTTAACTTGTTAAAGTATGTTTATTTGTTAGTTAATTTTGAGATCTGTGCTTTTGTTGTTATATCCTAAATCTTTTTTATTTGATCTTTATACATTCAATAAGTTTATTGAATATCTATTTTTTCTTGTCTGATGATAGGGATAAATAGCCGATTTAGGTCACTAATAAAGACCATTTTTGACAGTTTCGACTTTGAATTGAATATAACATTAAGTTTTTTACCATGGGCCACCACTCTGTGAACGAATGAACAAAAGACTCTTAAGATATTTATAGCAAAGTCAAAAAATACTTAGAAACACTCAAATTCTTCTGAAATAGACTTAAAAAATATAGCACATCTATCAAATATAGACATCAGTATAGTACCGTACAGCCGCGATTTTAAGAGCTCACTAAGGAACTGTCTTAAGAAAAGTTCGAATCTTATTCGCAAGGGCCTGGAGGCTTAGGGGCCCGTCGGTGACTTACCCCTGATTGCACAGACGTTAAAATCGCCACTACTGATCGAAATAAAAAACTGCGTCAGTTGGCTTGGAAATGACAATCGATAACATTCCCCCTAAATTTTACATATAAAATGCCAGCAATCTTCATTTCATAGCTATTGACGCCGTTTTTTCGATCGCTACGATATAAATAAATAAAAACTAGACGATGATGTTGCCTATCATAAATCACACCTATAGTCCTGTAAAAAATATAATTATTTACATTGTTGCATTGTAAATACTCTATTAATTAAACTACAGCAAAAGTCTTTTATAAAACTACATTTTTAAATTATCAATTAACGCTCAAAGATTAAATACAACACGAAAACATTGGAGCACGTGGAAAAATTAGCAAGTCCAGAAAAATCTAATGGCGACTGGCCCACCCTCTTAAAACTGAAAACAAAAAATCCACGCCGACGACGCGTCCAAAAATAAATCGATAACCCATCTCGACACCATTCGGCCAATAGAAAAGTAGCATTTCGGCGCATGTGCATTACATCCATCTACTGAACAAGGATGGACTTATGTCAAACTCGATCTTCTGTCCTTCAATACTGGGACATAAATTCTCTCATTGCTCTTATGGGGAGGCCGCAGTATATTTTAATTAAAACGTATTTGGTTTCCATCAACAGTAATCAACAGAAAGTAACCAGTGTCGTAGTTTCTTTCATCGACTGCGCACACTTTCGGCTGATTCGAGTCAGTAGCGTACGGATTAATTTATTTTGTTTACTTCTTGAGTTATATTTTATAGTTGTTGTTTTATTTTTGTTTATTGTGTTATATATTTGGTTTTTCTAGTTTATTTTCGTTTCTTGTGTTATATAATTTATTTTTGTTTTTCTGAACATTTTTAAATCGTTAATTTTTACGTGTTTTTAAAATGCCTGGGCGAAGTTGTGCAGCAAAAAACTGCCCGAGTAGAGGACTAAACTGCAATAAAAGTTACTTTCTGTTTCCTAGAGATCCTATTAGGTATGTATATACATATGTGATTAATTATTTTAACATATTTTAGTTAAAAAAACAGTAGTATACATATTAGGACATTCAGCTAAATAGAAAGATCTAATTAAAAATATACAAGATCAGCATCTTTATTAAATGTTAACAAACTTATATACAGGGTGAGTCTTAAATAAGTGCAAATATTTTCAGGGCTGGCAGATCTCGATAAAAGAAACATATTTTCTCCTTACTTTTTCAGATAAATCCAAAATAACCGAGTTATTTAAGTTTAAAAAAAAATGTTTTTTTTTTAAATGTTGAGTTGAGAGCCACCGGATTTTTTCTGTATTTGCATCCCTTTTAGTGCCGCAACCATAGAGTAAAGCCGTAACTATGAACCAAGTTCGGTAATCACATCATGATCACATCCAGATGTCGACGGATTTTTTGTCACGTGATCACAGATTGGATGGAGTAACCTGAAATTACCGAACGGTTTGGAATGTTCCGATCACTTAGGGAAAAGTGACAAGTTTGAAATCCCAATTCCCAATTGAAATCTATCAACGTTCAAAGACAAAAGGACCAGTAATTTATTTTTTGAGTTTTGTACGTGGTTTTGCATTAAGCAACAAAATAAACAATTTAAAACTTGACATCAGCTTGGAAATTTAACCTCACTAACAAATTAATCTGTTTGCTCCGTCAAAATTCTCCGAGCAAAAAGATCACCGTCCGATTGCTCCGATTTTATTTACCGAACGGTTGAGATTTACTTCCCCTACATCTGGACGTCATAAACGAACGATCGAGATCGATCCGAGCGGTCGGACGTGAATACCGAACGCGCCTATGGTAATATCAGAGATTAAGAAATTATACCGTAGGAAAATTTGCGGTGCACAGGCAGTTCTAAAAAGTTTTCGAAAAATATACAGGGAAGTTAAAAGAAAATGCACGATTTTCAATATCTTTTTTTAGCGAAAAAAAACTCATAAACGTGTTCCTGGGGTCGAAATATACCACCCCTGAAAATATTTGCACTTATTCAAGACTCACCCTATATGTATATAAAATATTAGCAAAATTAAAATGTTAAATATTTAGTAAAATTTAATGTTGTATCTAGACATTCAACATTAAATTCAAAAATAATTATATTAATAATTATTAAATAAAATTATAAAAATAAATAAAATGAGTATATCGAAAATAACAATAGATTAGTAACAAGTTAACAATACATTTTTAGGGCAAGAACATGGGCAATTGCATCTAATAGAGAAGACTTGGTTGAAAATATAAATAAGGCCCAGAAAAGGTACAGGTTGTGTTCTGTTCACTTTGAATTTAAAATGTTTACCAATTCACTTTGTAACCGTATAAAATACAATGCGGTACCTACTTTGTTTCCTGCCATGAAAAAAATAGAAGTTTCTCAAAAAAATTGTGGATTTATTAATTTGTGAAATTTGAATATTAATAAAATTTGCTACGCCCCTTGATGGGCATAATTTGTACGTAGCCTCTTTATATTGTTCAATAAATATTTTATTGGTATTTTTTTAATTCTTGTTTGTAACTCCTGGCATGTTTTTGTTAGTTGCATGTTTTTTAATTTTAATTGTCTATTCTCTACAGTGAAATATTTAATTGATCTTTTCATTTTTAATTTTCGAGAAGTATGCGCGGTTAACGATTCATTTGTTTGGACAAAAGTATTGTAAATAAAATTCAGTTTCAGTCAATTACAGTATTTTTTTAATACGACCCTGTCGTATTTTCTGAGAAATTTTTTAATACGTTTTAATCCGGCCCTGACTAGGAAACCATAATGGCGCCGACAAGGTCAAATTTTATAGAAATTTTAAACAATGGAATCTGAGTAGAGTTGGCGTGCCGATTGTTTTATGTGCCGTGGTATAGCCATAGCCCGTTAGGACGCTGTTTCCCGCCTTTTAGAATTACAAATTACAAATGTAGTTTTTATTCCGTGCTTGTCTTGTATATAATTAAAAAAGAAGTTGTAAATAGGATAGTTGTATTGGATTTTTGGATGTTTTAATTAATTCTTATATGTATTCATCAACGAGTTATCAGTAAACAGGATATGTACAGTCAGTTGAGTCATACCGCGTCAGACCTGATTCAGACCCGCTAGGCGGATTTTGTCGTCAGCTATTCTCTGGTCGTCAGCCATATGGTCCCCGCTTGATTACTCAACATCGACCCTTCTCGATCAGAGATATAGAAGGTAGTACACAGAGGTAGTAGTTCTCGATCGAGGGCAAAGTCGAGGGTGTGTGTCATTTATTCTATGGTGGTTCTTCTCTATGGTAGAAGGATGGTAGTCTTTCTCTAGCCAGATAGTCCTAGTAGATTAGCTTTTAAATTAATTAAAAAATTAAGTAAAAATATATATATATATATATATTTAAGACCCGGATAGCTCTAGCAGGAGTGGCCATTAAACCAATATATATTAAGAAGAAATAAGAAATAACGAAATAACCTCAAACTAAAAAATCAGAAAAATAAAAAAAAATCATTTTGTAATGTTTTTTATTAATTATCCTGTTTTATTTTAAAATGGTGCTACAATGTTAACCAGTATAAAAGACAAAATATTAAACGTTACAAAGAATGTCGGTTTATTTGTTTCTGACGAAAAGGAACAGAAATCTGGAGAGAAATCAAATTTCAATGCAGGTAGTTCAATATTGCAGCATTTTCAAAATTCTTGGTGCGAATTGCACGATTTAAATGAGCAGAATACCAAAAGGGCTAATGAAGTTGCCGATGATATCGAGAAAATTTCAGGGAAAATCAGTAGTAGCCGAGAAAATATTAGTCTAATCAACCATGTCTTAACCAATTCAGGTATAACCAGCAGTATTTCACAATGTTTGGATCAAGTAAAACAGCTCTATTTTACTTGTGAAACTATAGAGCATAAGCTTTTTGAACTAGAAGAATTAATAGAGTATCGAGTGTGTGAAAATGAAAAGCAAGGACATTTGATTGCACTTGAAAGTTTTAAGGTCAGGAAAAATGGTAAGAATATCTCATTTTTGTTATGTGAGAGTTTAAATATTTTCATGTGCAGAACAACTTGCAATATTTAAAGAATCGCTTGAGGAAGGCTACCAAAATAAAGTTAGAGAGTATGAACTTCGTACGAAAGACATGCTGGAAATGAGACAAAAAGTTTTCCATGAAGCTTTCAAAACAGATCTGGAGATTTACAAAAGCCAAGGAACAATACCAAGTAAGTATTGACATGTTTGAGAGGGAGTTGTATATATCTTCTGATAATACTTCAAAATAATAAGGGTTTAATTATTAGAAGTCGACTTAAATAAACAACAGAATGGAGCCATTCTAGAGGAAATTCAGTTAGACTTTGACCAGATTGAATTGGAGAAATTTTTTGAAGATAACACTGATCAAAAGACTACTTAGTTTTGTTTTTATATAAAGGGTTTTTCTAAAAAGGAATTGAACAGTTTTTATGAAAAACCATGTATACTTGAATACCTTAATAGGTGCAATATTATCTTAAGAAATAAAACAAGGGTACAATTGTTAGGATTTAAGAATAGAAATAGTAAATAGTTTAAAAATATTTTCATATAATCTTTAAATATATTGTTATTTTTGAAAGCAACATAATATAAAACAATAAGTGTTTAAAAAAGTTTATTTCTCCTTTTTTTCGAACTTTCATCTGTGATCTATGTACAAACTTAGATGAATATGAGATCTAACAAAAATATCACCAAGAGATTTGATTTTACATATATAAAAAGAACAATTTGACAATAACAATCAGAGCTAACAGAAAAATTAAATGTATGGTAATTTTTTTAAATAAATTAATCTATACTATTTTGAGGTTTACAGGTAATAAGAACAGAATAAATATATGTATAACAAGTTTAGATCCTATGACTATGTGTTTCAGTTTCATTTAAAAAAGACTAAATACTACTTTACATCAACTGTTTTTTAATAATTTAACATTTTTAATGCATATTGCATATCGTGATGAAAATAAAAGCAAAATTTAACACTGTTTTTAATTCTTTTATGATATCTTTTTATGGATAATTTATTTAATTTTTTAAATAAATTTTTCACAGAATTTCAGAAAATAATATACATACTAGAAATATTCGTTTTCCCTTCTTTTTGTGTTTTTTTTTAAATATTTTTTTACAATATCTTAAATTAATATATATTTTTAGTGGTAATGGAAACAATCTACTTTTCGATTATAAAAATATGGTGTGAGCTAAACATTACCTTATCATAGAAAAAATCATATATGTATGTACGCATGATAAAAAAGTATCTTGATCTATATGTAATTATTTTTTACCTTTTTGGTGTTTTGACTTATATACCTATGAAAAAATAATGCCACAATCTAGCTTAAGAAAAATATGAAAATAACTAATTTCTGTCAATTTCCCAGACAATCTATTTTTTACTTAACTATAAATATTATTAGTATAATGATAAGTTTAATGTTATTAAATATAATGGGTGATAATTAGTGCATTCTGATGATATATTGCAAGTACTAATATATACACTATCGGACAAAAGAAAATCAACTTTTATGATAAAGTATAACATTTAAGGTATTTAAATTGCAAAAAGCAATCCGGAAAATCAAAATTCATGTATTTTAAAAACATATAGTAGATAAAATGTTATTGCTTTCAAACGTCAGATAAAAAAACATTTCTTTTATTACCGCCACAAAGGTAGAGCAACTTTTACATTTGACTTAAAGAGAACGGAAATCCTTTCTAAAAAAAGGTAAATTTAAACTTATAGTATCTTATTTCTGTTTTTTTTTCCACTGTTCTCAAATGAAATATTTTCTGAGTTAAAGTTGCTTTAATTTTGCAGCACTAATTTAGCATATTCAACTAAATTTTTACATAATATTATGTTATTTGTCATTTGAAGACAATAATCCTATTTTACCTATGACAAATAATAATAATTTAAGGTGTAGAAGTCAAAACACTTTTCTAATAATAGAATAAATTAATGAAAAACCAAAAGAAACTTTCCAGGTTTATAAAACCTAAAAAACATAAATACATTATTTGTCTCTATACTGAGAATGATATTTTTACAGAAATAAAAAAAAATATTGAGTGTATTCTAGTTTGAAACATCAATTTTTGACTGCCCATCCAATAAACTTGACTGGCTTTGTTTCCAACATGTCCAACATGTGATTATGATGAGGCGTACAGCGGAGCAGAGCACATGCATTAAATTGATGTGACCCCACATAAGGCGCGTAGCGTAATGCGGATTGACGCGCTGGTAGTGTATTTTCGCGCGTACTGCTCATTTTGGTATTGAGACTGTTAAAATCCGCCTGCAAACCCGCTACATATGGGGCCACTGTACGCGCTCTTCTCCGCCATACACTACGCTACCTTCTCACTACCAGCTTTATGTTGGGCCACGTACTTAAAGTTGACATAAATAAATATTGGATAAGAAGTCAAATAGAGATTTTTTGCCGCCTAAGTTAATATGAATCACGCCTAGAATTTTAGAATAAAGATATAACACAAGTGACACTTATTTTGGGCAATATCAAGGTAAACTGAAGAATATATGGGCCATTTCAAGAATAGGGTACAAAACAGTTAAAAATATTCCTCTAGGATCTTTAAGTATATTCATAGCGCAATAAATGTTACTTCAGAAATTTCTTCATTCCATGCCTATAACTATAATAATAATTCTCAAAGACTGCACTATATCTGATTTTTTTTATTTTCTCTTATCATATACTCAAACGCAAATGTATCATTCATATTAAGCAGATTTAAACTCACAAATGAAAACAAAAATACAAACTCATTTGCTTATTGTCATTGGGCTAATTCTTCATTATTCACGTATACACTGCAACCTTTGAGACGTTTAATATAATAATCTAACCTTAAAATATACCAAAAATGAACACAGTACATGACACACTGGCCCTCGCTTCATGTACAATAAGCACATGTTCACAAGGTTGAAAACAATTTTATAAGAATACGACGACGAATAGAAAACTTACGAAATTCTTGGAAAATATCCAAGTAAGGTAGTTTTGTCTTTTGTTTGAACTGAAGCTGTTGCTGATGCAATCATCATCGAATTGGCCAGTTGAACCAGTATTTTCACATAAATTAAATCCTTTAAGCGTATTTTTTTTCAAACATTTTCTTGGAGATTTTATGCTTTTTATGACTTTTTCATGGTTAAAAGTGACCCAGAATCGCTCAACTAAATACTGCTAACATCTGATTAACTAGATTTTCTCTTGATATAGGAAAATAACCTAATTTTTTCGAGCGATAGCCTGATTTTTTTTAAATGGCCTTTTTCTAGTAGGCCAGCTCGTCCTTGGGCTGCCAGTACCTGTTTGTTAGAATAAGGTAGGTGGCGGACAACCTCTGTCACGCCTGCTTTGACAGATGGTGTTGAGCAGGTCTACCATCTCCGTACATACTCAAAGATGCTATATAATGATTTGGCATCACCTGAAATCGGTTTAAATGCAAAAAATTTCACAAAAATTCAAGTGAGACGACTAGGTATTATTATTTACCTCAAAAATTACATCTTGGTAACCGTAACACAACGTGCTGCCGAAAGGATTGGTTGTATTGGTGGAACTGGCTCTATTGAGTACTACGGGTCTTTCGCTGGGCGTCAACTGCTTACATACCTCCGACCAGTTTGAGTAAGCCGTTATAGTGGTGCCACCTAGCGGCAATTCGAATTCGTTTCTCATGTACATGTTGAAGTTGTAATGACCTGGGTAATTCGTATGCAAGACGATTTTTTTCGCCAAATGTGTACGAGCGTCAAACAAGACATCCTGAAATCGTGCAATCAGGTTTTAGAATAAAATATATTTGAAACTTCTTAATTTTTGAAACTATCGACAACACTGTTTAAAGTTAAAATGACTGGCCATGTTGTCATGTGATTATTTTCAAAGGAGAACTTGAAGAAATAGGAAAAAATTCCAATTGTGCACAATAAAAAAAGATAAAAATATTTTTTCATGATAACAGAAATTGAAGTGAAAGAACTTAGTTAATCTTATCTTTCCTTTAAAGATAATAGCGTAAACTTGTATAAAGATCATGCAAAAAAAATAAATGGATTTTATCTATAAAAACAACAATTATTTTAATATTATATCAATAATAAAACTATAGTATAATAGTAAAGGAATTTGTTTTGAATATAACAGAATAATAACAGTTCTTACCAGTCCCAATGTGAAGTAATTAAAAAAATAATCACTTCGATTGGTTGTGACCCTTCTATGGGCATTCGGGGCGTGTATTCTCATTTTGTCCTCGCTTTTGTAAAAGACCTTCAGAGGAGCACCTAATGCAGAAGAAACATCCTGAGCTGACTGCCCTAACAGGACCTTCCTTTCAACGTTCAGTATTGTAGAATCGATAATTCTGTTGTTTGTACCTGAAAATTTCAATGTGAATTATCAAACTTTACTTTAAAATGAATAAAAACTAATTGTTCTGCTAGTATCTCCTTAACTTACCTGCCAACAACTGTAACTTGAGCCCCTTTGTATAACCTTCACCTCTCAACACTTCCACTTTTTGCAAGTATAATTGCCCATGATAACAGCTCAACGGTAACTCTGGGGCAGAAGCCTGATCTACACTACTTCCTGAATAAATTGCAAGCCTTGAAACCACCTTAAAAAAATAGATTACCACAGAGTTTTTCTTGATTAAACTATATAATTACTGGACTATTTCCTGGAGGAAATTGCAAAGATGCCAGATTATGTGTACTTCCTTTTTGATATTTTGAGTCCACAGGGAAATAGAAGCTTAAACCTCGAAAATTCAGTGTAAACACTTGTTTTTCAGAGTCATATTCGCCTGGGTGGGTAGCTCCAAAAGAGTGTTCAATTTGTTCTATAGATGGCAGAAGTTCAGGAGAGTTGAATGTTAATCCACTATAAACATGGGTTAGAATTACTCAGAATTATTTGGATAATATTATAAAACTTACCAATACTTAAGTTTCACAAATTTCATATTATACACTAGAATAATTTTTAACCTTTGGGATATGGGATCAAAAAATAACCTAATGCCATCCTGGGGCAAGTTTATTACTAAATCTATTTCTAATGGTTTCTGAAATAAGCATACAAAATATCAGAATATACCATAAAATAATTGAAGCACTTACGGCATCATTATATAGTACTTGTACACCTTTTATAATACCAATTTGGGCTTGGATAATGGCAACAGCCTGAGAGAAATGCATTCCTAAAATTAAAAATAGATTATAGTTTTATTCAACAGGTTACAAATTATTTAGATGTCATTGGTTAAAATCTGAAAAAATTATAAATTTCAAGATAGTAAAGAAAATTCAATGTCATTGACACATTTTATTTTTCTTTTAACTGGCTAGATTCAAGGTGAGTTGAAAAAACTCTTAATAACAAATGAGTGAACAGAAAAAAGCGGTAATCTAAAAATATAGCCAGGAAAGAAAACAAATTGATAAAAAAGGATAATAAAAAAGCCTTTACTTATACTTACCTATCTGTCAGTCCAGTGAACTACGCCATTATCAAAGGTCAAAAATGATATTTACTTTTAAAAAAATCATAAAACGAAATAAAAAAAAACGTAATAAACGTGCAACATGAAAAATTAAAGTATTTTAGCTTTTGGGACTCGGATATAAATAAAACGCATTTCAAATCCTATCAGCACTACCCACCTAGTACGAACTCCCACTGTTCACAGCCTAACGAACGTTCGGGGGCCACTTCTAGCGTCAACATCTTCTTCTGGGACCGATAAACTCCCGTTTCCGTAACTTTTCCCAACAAATCACTTAAATTTTCCAAAGAAAAACTCGTTGAAATGTCCACAATCCTTTGTCTTGGACAGCTTATATCGCCATTTTGATTGTCAAAGATTTGACGGACCCGAAACTGTCATTGTCGAACAGCTGATTGTCATCTGGCCGAACAAAAAACAAGAGCACTATTAAAAGTATTAAAAGAGCAGTCATTTGTCATTTCTAATAGCGACTGTATGGTCTTTTGTTTTAAAGGTTATAATCGGGCGAATTAATATCGATTCCTTGGTAATCAAAACCATAGATAAAAAAAATAATCTTCTATTAAGAATCAAAATAAATCAAAAGAATGGTATCACAAGGGTATCACGAAAGATTGTGATTGGCTGGATTTCTTGTGTAAGAAATTTGAAATTAATAGCAGTTAATAGATTTAAAAATGCATTTAAATTACGAATATGTACTACGTAGCTCTGTACGTAGGAAAAGGTTTAAACCTTTAATATACCCCGTAATAATTAATTGTTTTACTTTATTACAATTTACAATACAGATGACAATACACAGTGATACTAATTAGACCAATAAATACCTCAATCTAATGTATACGAATCTAGTAATTATTTATTAATATAGGTATTCAGAGAAATTTTATAAACAAAGAATGGTAATTACCCAAAGAATATTTTATTATCAGGCATTATGAGATTTACAGAAAATTGATTTTTAACTTGAACCATTCTCTCCGAAGTTGTAAAAATAGTTTTCTGACCTAAATAAAACTGCTGGTATCTAGATGAAATCAAAAAAATTACCATGTTTGTAGGTGTGTGTTGACAAGGTCAATCTGGGTCAATCTAAAACTATTAAAAAACTCGATATTCTTATTTTTTTATTCATAAAAACTAGGTAATGAAAAAACATAGATTTTGAACTTAAGAACCTAATTATATGTTATCGAACTAAATTAGTGTGCATTATCGGGTGGTGGAGCCATACAATTGCCTGTAGGATATCTTTTCTTAAAATTCTCTATGAGTAAGGGATCAATAAGTCTAATTCCATCAACTTGGTTACCTAATGTTATCCAATTTGGTTGTATATTATGTGGCCTTCCAAAAAGCTCAATTTTTCTAGTACCAGGGGATAATCTAAGATAAAAACAGTCATATTTACCAATTATAAATAATAATCAAATTGTGCTTACCTCTCAATCATACCATATATCTCATCAGGTTTATGACTGGTAGCCCTAACCTCTGCAACTATAACATCTGAATCTAAACCTCTATTCAAGTCCTTGGGGTTACCTTTCATACCAACCAAACAGTGTTCTTTTCCATGATTCAACCAATGCCCTGTTCTACCTGTCCTGATAATTCTTTGAAGTTGATTCGTTTTAACCCAAATAATTTCATCCACTCTCTCATAGCCCCACAAATTCAAACATTCCCTTCCTAATTCCATAGCCCTACCAGTGACCCATAGAAAAATCAAACCATCATCTTGCAACTGAGGAATACCAAGTTGTCTCATTTCATCATCTGACATAGTGCCATAAGGTAGTTCCATGTGGATGTCCCATGGAGGGTCAGCCATAATGACTGCAAATTTACCTAAAATCCATTAAAGAACAAAAAATAAGGTAGGTTATTGAGAAAACTAAAAATATAGACCTAAAACAGTCATATCTAAGTAACGTAGATCACACTGAACCCACTGAGGAGGATACAAGGTGGTGCTTTCAACTCTTCCAACGATAGGCTTATTTTGAATTGTCATATGATGGTCCGTACTTTTTCCTGCTCTATCTACTTCATAATGAACATATTTGCAAGTGTCCATGTGAAAACAGGTGTTTAAAAATGAACAGTCGCCTAATGATTCATCTGTATGTTTCTGAATAATTTTCTTGAAATGTAGCTTTTTACAATCAGTAATTCCATTTTTTTCACAGTCTAATTTTGTGCCATGGGGGCAGAATTCCATAAGTTGCTTTCCTCCTAATAAAAAACAGATATAAAATGTTAGTTCATAAAAATCAGCGATTCACCTTGAGATTTGAATCTCTCTGTCAAAGACCTTTCTTTTGCGGTTGGTTTACTTAACAAGTCCATAATCTCCTCCCCAATCTTCTTAGTTTCTTTTTCTTTAGTAGACGGCATAGAAAGAAGTGACTAAAATAAAGGGTATAATAGAAAGTTTAAGGGAAATTTCTGATTTCTAACTAATATATCTGTTGTAGGTTCTTTCTTTTCTTTTTTTCTTTTATCATCATGATCATTTTCTTCACAATTTATACTAGTCTCTTTTCTTTTTCTTTTCAAAGTATCTTTTAATGTTGGTCTCTCTGGTTCATCTATAAATTCAGCTATCATGGCATTCACCTAACAACAAATTTTGTGCAACTTAAAATATATAAAAATGTATTTTTATGTGTACCTTAGTCACTTCCACTGATGCAACTTCTAAAAAAACTAGTCCATCTTTCACAGAATCTTTAACCATAATCAGCTTCTGCATTGAAAACTTTTGCAATAAATTGCATACTTGCTTGTGCAATACTTCTGCAGATGATATAGGCTTTATTCTCCCAACCAAATCACTAGAGGATGTGGGTAAAGGTAATGTTACATTGGCAAGTTCTTTTAAAAGCATTTTCTCGAGTTCGGGATCGATTTTTACAGGGTCATCAATGTCAACAGCCTTTTCCGTTTTTATTTTAATTTCATCTTTTACGGTTACACCAGCAGTAGGTGTAAAAGTCTCAGATTTGGTTACAGTGAATCTAGTGGTTACCAAATTCGAGCCTAGAATATCTTGTCTCTCTTTTTTTCGTTTCTCTAGGCGTTCCCTGAAACTATTGCGCTTCCTTTGAACCTCTTGTATTTCTTCCCAAGCGTCAGACATTATTTAAGTAAAAGTTTTAGAAATTTGAAAAACCATAAACAATTTTTTTTCTCCCAAATATAACTGAATACCACAAAACACCACTAAACCTCTGACTAAATACATTATGTGTTTTTAAAGCTTCAACTGTATTATAACCTCACCAAAAACTGAATCATAAATTATAAACTGAATATAACCAAAAAATTAATTCTTCTCTACAAAGTTACAATTTTTTTAATCGATTATATGGGCCATATTATATATGGCCTAAGCTACCAGAGCTATCCGGCTTGTTAATAAGGTACTTTCCTCAATAGGACTATCCCGCCCAAAAAAAGTAGGCGTGTCTTTTTTGCTGCCAGCTGCCAGGGTAATCTGGACGGTTCTTCTTTGTTTACGAGGAATCCAAACCGCGGTTCTCGGCCAAATTATTTTTAGTAACTTACCGAAGTGGAAAGAGCATATGGAGTGTAGAATGTAGTCGCAACCTCTACACTCCATTAGAGAGCATAAAGTAACTAAATTATTTTAACTACGATAACTAATTTATTGATAAAGGTGTGGATCCGGTGGTTGACCTTGAAATGAGTTTTTGCTGCATATAGTCTGGAATTATTTTCAGTAGAAAACAAATATGTGCTTTTCAGTGTTTTTTTGTCAATATATACCGTATGATCGAAAAAACGGCCTCCAGTTGGCTGGGAAATGACGCTTGAGGACATTTCCCATATAAAATGACAGCGATCTTCATTTCATAGTCATCGCTGACGCTATTTTTTTTCAATCATAGTACGCGTTATATTATTTACATTATTATTTTAATATATCGCACAACACGTGAACGCTTATTATGTATTTTCATTGTCAATAAAATTAAATAGAAATAAAACTCTAGGTTCCTATAATTAATCTAAATTCTCTAGATTATTATGCTACGTTTAAAAAGTGCTTTATTAAAAATTCAGATAATTAAAAGGGATGTGTCCAAGTTTTTTCTTTTTTTTAATTTTTAAATGCTGTAGCTCCATATCATGTTCCTAATAGGTTTGATTTGGTTTGGTTTGGTTTGGATTCCATCAAAACTACGGAGGCCTTAAAAACAGCAACATTAACAGCAACATTTCAGCAACATTAACAATTACCTTGTTTAATTCTGCTTATACATATATTTGCATTAATTTTTCTTCTACCTTAAGATTTCTCTGTTCTTACACCTAATTTATGTGATTTTCTTAGCATATATGATTTATAAACTATATTTTTCCTAATGGAAGGATGGAAGGATATGCAAAATTAAAATATTTTAACATTTTTTTCCAGACAAAGCATAATATAGTATTAAGATTAAGACATAACAATTATTATAAGAAAGATCTTAATATAAATCACAAATCAGAAACTAACTAAGTCTTAATTTGGTCTTGTATAAACACAGGTATAATAAAACTAATAAGATGATAAGATCAAAACTCAACCTTCACCATATTGTCAAGATTTGGCATTATAACAAGAAATTACAGTAAATTAAGAAAAGAATATCAAAGTATTCGATATTAAATACTGTAATGGATTCTACGACACAAACCATCTCCCTTCTAGAGAGAAAAATATAAAACATAAAGCTTATTTTAGTCTTATCAAAACTCTTCGATAAAATATATGTCTAAAATTGCTATTAATCCACTAACTTCATATTTTTAAGAAATTATATGATACAAACATTATAATCAAAGTATATTATATTAGTAACATTATCGGTAAAATGTTACCTCTATCTCCCATTGGCGTGTATTTTTCTATAAGACTCGTCATGGTAGTACTTCACATCAATACATATAATCAAAACTATTGTTGCCTGTAAATAACTAGAAATTAAATAACTTGAAAGAAATAAAATAATTCTAATAAGTTTAAAACCATTAAGAAAAAATCCGTAAATGATAATTTTTAATTCTAATGTAAATACAGGGTTGTTCACCACATACGACACGGAGTATTGTAGTTAAATGATTAGATTTTTACAAATTGTAAGTTTTAGTTTCGTTGAAGGACTATTAGAGCTACAATTTAAAAATATTTTTACAAGATACAGAGTGTCCCAAATGAATAAAAAATATCAAAGTTGTATTTTTTTAAATGGAACACCCTGTATATTATTGAATTTTTAGTTTCTACGATTAAAACAAAGGTAAATTTGATTAAGGTTTATTACACTTAAACCTCGCCGTTTTTGAAATATTTTCAATTTTGAGAAATTGCAGTATAAATTTTAAGGCTTTATTTCTCTGAGTGTATCAAAGTTTTTAATACTAAATATTTACTGAAGTTTATTTATTGATTAGTTATTGTGTTGCAATAATAAAAATTATACTACCTTATACAGAGTGTCTAAAATTTTATTTTAAATAATTACTAGCTTTAAACGGCAATAACTTGTTTAATTTAAATGGAACGCCCTGTAGATTTTAGGAGAATCAGGTGCATAATTTAATTGTCTATCAAATTGTATTATTGTTATTCTGCCGTTTTTAATAAGATGTTTGCCAGATCATTTTTGCAATTTTCAGTACCCGTGTGTAATATTCGGACACAAAGTTTTTTAAATGTTCCTCTAAACTGGATGAATTTATATATATAAACTGGATGGGAATAATGATAGGTTTACAAGATATTGGAATTACAAGAATTACAGGAATTACAAGATAAAGTTGTCGTACCAGATTTTTATGAGTGCAACTGTACACTCAAATCTCGCATCTCGCGACAAGCCTTGTATATTATTTGGTTTTTGTAATAGAGTAGTGTTTATATTGTCGCGACCTAGCTGGGGGTTGTTTGCTAGGGTCGCTATACCAGGTTCTCTCTCTCAATCAAAACAACCATTGAACAAAATGTGCATTTATTTAATATTAAGTTCACAGTATATAACAATTTCGGAGAATGCCAAGACTTAACGGTTTACTTAAATAAGTACTTACAGGAACATCTTCAGTCTGCGCTGTCTTCTGCTAACGGACTGATAACGCGAATTACTGACCGTAATAATGCGACTCACATCGACGGACTCACTCCTCGACTCTCTTCAGCATACATTTTTATATTTTCTATCCCTCGTGGTCATCGCCGGTTACGTCGTTCAATCTGTTTTCATCTAATTACATTCACCCGGCTATGACCATGAGGCAATCGAACTTTGGTAGCCTGCGTTTGATTATCGACCCGAGATTGTTGTATTTTAATTGTTTAATTATTAATGTTATTTAAAAACATATCTGGGTCGATGTCATGCAGGTAACCGATCTCTTGGGCCTATATCAAATTGTTTTTTCCCAATTTGATCTAAACCCAAGTTGACATCTATTTAAGTCTTGACAATATAATATAAAATTCTGTAATGACGTTATAAGACCATAATAAAAGTTAATTTTTTTCTTTTTAATGTATTTAAATAAAACCTTGTTTTTGAAAAAGTTTTTTTTCTTAAATTTATTTTTTACTTTTTAGTTATGCTGGTTTCTCAGTGCCACACACTTAAAGAATTCTTTTTCTTAAATAACTTCTTATGGGCATCCTAATAATAGTAATAATATGTATATCGATTTTCATTAAAAAAGGAGAACTTAAAAAAAAAACGACAGCTGTCAAATTTGACAGTTCAAATGTGAGACAGATAAAATGAAAACCGACTATGGGGTAGGGAGCATCCAATATATCGATTTTTATCAAAATCGGACAACTTTGAGATTTTTTTTTCAGCTGTCAAATTTGACAGCTCAATTTTTTTTTCATTTTAACCCATGGCCATCCTATATATAGATTTTTATCAAAATCGGACAACTTTGAAATTTTTGACAGCTGTCAAATTTGACAGTTCATTTTTGTTTTGTCATCTGTCATTCCAACGAGAAGATCCTTGACAGTGATAGATGTGTCTGTCATTTTAATTTCAGAGTAGTTTATTTTATTTTACAAAGAAATAAGTTGGTACAACTGGAACGCATAGCAGGAAATTAATATATGTATTTAAAATTTGACTGACAAGTAACTTCAAAATATTGTGAAAAAAACTGTATAAAACTGAAAAAATGTAATCGAGTTATTTTATTTACTAAAAACCGGTATGTGTTAATACAAAACAAACAAAAACAAGACACCACATACCAAAAAATATAAAAAAGAACTATTTCTTACTTTCAAGCTTTATGAAACTTCCGGCATTTATGATTATATTTATCAATATAACTTATGTACAAATAATACAAATTTGTAATATTCCACAGGAATAAATAAAACAACATAAATAAAACAAACTATTTTATTAATAATAACACTTACCAAACTTTATACCTCACAGGATGATTAATTAACTTTAATCTGAATTTTTTTAAACCAGTACCTTTTGACATTATTTTTCTGCAGTACTAAAATCCATTATTTATCTATCGTGTGATGTCGATATTTTATAGCTACTCCAGTTTTTAGTATGTGTTTAGTATGGTCCTACCATATTCGAGATGCACTTATCTACGACGAGATGGTATACGAACTTTATTGATAGTAACTTTATTGGTGTATCTGTATAAGACTTTCTGCCTGGGCAGCGAGTATTAACCATAAACTGTGCTCTGGGTTCTACAGTTAATTTTCACTCGATTTTTCCTCCACATGACTTCAAAAGACACAAAACACACGTAATAACAGTAATAACACGAATTAAAATGCATCATCTTTCAAACCGCAGGGTATTTGACAAAAGTTGTCACAACATTATAACCTATAATTTGGCAAGACTTTGACAAACGTCAAAAATCTAAAGGCGAGTTCATACGCATCGGCGTCCGTTTGTCGTCCATCGTTTCGTCTAACCCTTGGTCAAACCAATAAAATTGAAATACGATCTGTCATTTTTGAAATAAACCAATAAAACTGGTTAAAAACAACAAGTGACGACGCATGACGAATTTATATTTAAACCCATCCATCGCTAACTTAAAAATTATTAGAAACTTTTTTTAGTAAAATAAATAGATTGGTATAGGACGTCATCTGCTTTTCTTCTGTCATCGTCTGTCGAAATCTTACCTGAGAAAAAAAACAGAGTATACAAAGCAAGTTAAATAAAAGCTTGTAAAATAAGCTAGGGACTGCTTTCCATTGGTAAAGATACCTCTTACCATAACAACATTAGACGTCCTTAAAACCTACAATATTATTACGACAACTATTATAAAATAAATTGCACTTGATGATATTATTATCATATTATGATGAATATTAACAAAATTTGCTTTGTATGTAGCCTCTTAAGATTGTTCAATAGATATTTTATTGGGTATTTCTTTAATTCTTGTTTGTAACTCCTGGCATGTTTTTTAATTTTAATTAATTATCTATTCTCTACAGTTAAATGTTTAATTAATTTTTTCATTGTTACTTTTCGAGGAGTATGCGCGGTTAACGATTCATTTGTTTAGATAAAAGTATTGTGTAAATAAAATTCAGTTTCAGTCAATTACAGTATTTTTTTAATATGACCCTGTCTATCAATAGTTTATTTTCTGTGAAATTTTTTGATACGTTTTAATCCGGCCCTGACTCGGCACCCATAATGTTGTTTTCAAGGTCAAATTTTATAGAAATTTAAAACAATGGGATCTGGGCGTGCCTTTACCATTTCAAATATAACTTTATAAGGAGGTTGTTCTGAAGCAAGGGTTTTTTTTCCTATTTTTGGCCACTTGTCTATTACGACATTCAGCCAGCTTATTTCTTATTATTTAATTAGCGTTTAAAATTGGACAAATACAGACTCACACACACATTTAACACCCATGTCCGAGGCCGGAATCGAACCGGCGACCTTGCGTCTACTAGAAAGCGACGCAATCATTTCGACCACAAGGCCGACATCAAACAAGGGTTCTGAAGTCCACAGTAGCAACTGTAGTTGATCCAAAACACTTAAGAAGAAGAGATAATTATAAAGTGTCAATCTGTGGTCAACGGTCAACTACATTCGACATATGTCACTGTCAAATTCAAATAAAAATGGAGGCCCAAGAAAGCAAAACATTGCAATCAAACAGTTTATTAAATTATTATTTAACCATGAATATCAATAATATTTGTAGGATATGCTTAGAAAAATGTGGTAAATTAACTCAGATATTCGATCCAGTAAAACCTGCACATTTTTCTTTTCTGATAATGGCGTGCGCTTCAGTACAGGTAATACCAAGGTAATACCCTCCAGATTTCCCATTGATGTTTTTTTCTTGTTTATTTCTTTATGAAGGTACACGAAGGTGATGGTTTACCACCGTATATTTGCCAGCGGTGTGTATCACGTTTGAACATAGCTTTCCAGTTTAAAACCCAGTGTGAGTCGTCCGATTCAAAACTAAGAGAATGTTTCAAGAATTACAGTTTGTCCAATACTTCTGATTTTTCTGAATTTATTGAATCAGATAAAGATCAAGGTGACACAAATTGCCAGTCAGGCAATGGGGCCAGTGAAGCTGAAAACAATCAAGCCATGGTGCCCAAGGAAGACACTAATATACAACATGTAGTTGAAATTAAGAATGTATAAAAATATGTTGAAATTTCAAAAAGATACTCCTGTTTACTTTATTTTTTTTAAGGTCGAGAACAGATGTATGGAGAAACAGAACAATTTACCTAATAAAGAAGAGAACAATGATCTATCAGAATATAAAATACAATATGCAAATAGCTGTGAGAAAGAAGATATAACTGTACAATTTGATGATATTAATATATTTAATGAAAACGAAGAAACAGATAAAGATTCTGACCAGAAATCTAGAAAAATATTGAAAATGCATCAGTGTAAAACATGTGGAAAAGTTTTTAAGTCCAAATCAAGTTTAGTTCACCATGTAAGGACACACACTGGTGAAAGACCATATGTATGCCATCTATGTCAAAAGCGGTGTAGTATAACAATATAAAAATTATTTAACCAAATAAAATGGCTTTTCTAGATTTGTAAATGGCGGTCATCTACATACTCACATGAGAATACATACAGGAGAGAAAAATCATATATGTTTAGCATGTAATAAAGCTTTTGCCACAGCTCAACAACTAACAAAGCATACTATAGCAATACACACTTCTGAAAGACCTTATGGATGTACTTACTGTACAAAAAGGTAAATACAATAAAGTAATAACTTTTTGCATAAAAAACTTCTTAAATTATAATAGGTTTGCAAGTTCCAGTAATTTAAGCACTCACATCAAGATCCATACTGGTGAAAAGAATTTCCATTGTGAGTATTGTGGTAAAACTTTTTCTACAAAGGGTCAGCTACAACAACACATGTTAGTACATACAGGTGAAAAAGCATTCCTATGTGAATTCTGTAATAAAAGGTTTTCACAAAAAGCTCACTTAATTCGACACTTAAAAACACATAAAAATCCTTCAGAATAATATATTATCTTTTTTTTGTATATAATTCATACAGTATCTACTTCTAATTACTATAAGACTGATATATTTATTTTATTATTATTTGTAATTATTTTTAAGTTTCTATTCTCTAGAATAACAGTATATATAAAAAAATTTTTAGTATACATTGAATAAAAAACAAATACTTCAATAGATGATTTATTTACAAGTACAGGTATCTTTAGGATATAATACATAAATATATAAAAAACATAATTTTATTGCAAATCAACTATGCTGAGGTCACCTCACGTGACACCAAATCATTAGTCTGAATATTATTGTTCTATATGAATAAGACAGAGTACCTTTATATGTGTTCTCTTAAAAAGTCAACAGTACAAAACAGCTACTTTTAACAAGTTTATAATATTATTTGTGCTTTTTTATGTACTGACAATGTTCAAAAATATATCTATTACTTCCTAAATTTTTATGTCCAAGTTTGAAAAATGTCTTCTAGAAGTTCTATGAATATGCTCTTGGCGTAAAACATTCACAAAAAGTAAATTTTATATTAAACTATAGCACTGTAAAAAATACAATCAATGTATAAATGTGCCCTAATAAGACTCTAAAAATATTTATATTAAATAAAAGGCAGAAGAGAATGATCTTCAAATGGCAGCCGACATTGAATCAGAATTTAAATATGAACCAATCCCTGATGGTGAATACAGTAAGCAGTAAGCTTTGGTGTTACAACAGTAAAATAAAACATTAATTCACCAGAATACACCAAAACACTTGGCATGATATCATCATCAGCAGATAAAAACTCAAGAGTTTTAACTATCTTGTTAGTTAAACGCGCGTCTTGTGTTAAAAGTATTTTGGTTTATTGTGGTGAATTCGTGATTTATTTTGCTCCAATGTCAGCTGAATAATAATATAAAATATAAATGAGTTCAAAAATTTCAATCTTAATTTATATTTAGTATGGCAGTTTTTGGTATAGTAAGTAATATTATGTTAATATCAATCTATATTCAACAAAAATCCATTAAGCCTAGTATCTATAATTATCTTCAAAGTCCATATTAAATAGCTACCTAGCAATCAATCTTTCTTAAGCATCAGACCCCATTCACATTGAGAGACTTGTCCACTACGCGTCGAGTTGGTTCTATTATACATTATGAATGGAGTGTATTCACAGGGCGACGCAGTTTGAAGCAGCGCTGGTTTTCGGTTTCATTACGTTGTCGTTGTCGCACTGTAGTCTGATCTACCATTAATACGAAGGGGCGCGAATAGGCGGCGTGGGAAGTTTAGTCCTTATGAAGCTTAGAATGGGAGTGGACGACTGATTGTACACATCTTTTTCGAAGAACTATCGATAAATTTAGGCACGACATGGCTTGTAGCGTAAGTGTTTAGACTTGATTGGCGAGTGGACAAAACTCACTCAGTATGAACCTAGCCGTATGTTTAGGTAACGTTTTCAATATAAATTAAACATGTTTGTTCTTTTTAACCAATTACAAAAAAAAAGATTAATAAAGTATTTACAAAACAATAGTTTAATAGGAAAAACTATTAATAATGAAAAACATAAATATATACAAGCCTACAAAAAAGTACGTGACCATGTGCTCAATTGAAACTTAAAACAGTCTTTTTATCTCCTTAATTCACGTCAGTAAAAAATAAAATTGTTTTATGAAAAATCCCCACCCTTTGTAAATATATTCCCCATATACACATGATCAAAATATAAAATTAAGACTATATTCTTTGTTCCGGTTACAAACACCACTTCATAAAAATCAAATAAATAAAAAAATTGTTAGTAGTTTGGCTTGATGTGAAAGATTTAACCATTAAATGTGTCTTAAAGACAATCTAATAAAAACTATAACATCAAAAATATTCCTTTATCACAACTATTGGCACCATTGAGCCTCCTACAAAAAAAAATAGTTTCATATATTATATAATACAAAATTTTATTTTTTACCTTGAATGTGGGATCATATCCTCCTTTACTTCGCATTTGATTCTGTAAAGCTGCCACTTGATCCCCAGGCATTTCTATATCTCGACTGCCAATATGCCCAGTATGGACAAAATTTGTTGGGTTTCCAATCATTGATCTAGAGTAAATATCATTTAGTAAATTTATAATTCAAATAAAATATAGCTGATAAAAAAAATCTAACCTATCTATCCTACGTCTTCGTTTTTGGGGCTGCGCCACACAACAACTGAACCACGAAACCCAAAGATCATTGACTGTGGCCGCCATCTAAAAAGTAAAAATACTGAAAAATTGATGAGCGATGTGTTGAAATCAGTTGACACCTTGAAATTCAAATTGAAAAAGATGAACAGAATATAAAAGTCTACAGTATCTAAAAATAACTGTTTTTTTCAGCTATAGTTTATTAAACAGACAAATTAAATACTTTTTAATTATAAACAGCAATGAATGCTATATTATGGGTTTTTAAAAGGTACAAAAATTAGTAATACAAGAAATAAATTAAAGTTTGAACCACAGATAATTATTGGCGAGTATAATTTGCATTTTTTTATAGATGTTACGAAAACTAACTGAAATTGAACGTGATTTCCACGTTCGTCTAGGCTACGGCTGATTATTAGTATTCTTCGAGGTATTATGCTGATAAAATTATTAATTAAATGACTACATTATTTGTCAAGCGCCTGATAAGGAACCATCCATAAATAGTAATAAATTTCTTACAAAAACCTAACAATTAAATGAATCTACTGAATTACCCTTAAAGTGTAGCCTATTTTAGAAGTAGAATTAATAATATATACCTACATAAAATAAGTCACTATTCACAAAGGAACTATAAAATCAAAAATAACACACAAAACACAACCTCTACCACATACCAGTGTTATTATATGTCAGATAGATGTCAGGATGCCAGATGTCAGATCACAGACAGCATTGTCAACGTCAACAGTGTCAGACATAGAATAACTAACTGAAAGAAATGAAAACTCCTATGTTAAAGCCTGGAAACACGCGCTCGCAGCGATCAAAAGCGGGCTACTGGCAGAACTAAAAGTTCATGCCATATTTTTAAATGGACCTTTACTGCCAGTTCATAAGTTTTTACTTATATTTGGTAATTTCAATCTAGTTTTATGAACTTATTTGTAACAAAACATTTTACAAAATAAAAATAATGTATTTTGATACAAATAAATTAATAATCTAGGTTGAAATTATCCCTGAAATTAGAATAAAACACGAAAAATTTGTAACTTGATTATTTTATTATAACATTGTTAATAAAATTACATATAACACATTCAACACTATACAAGTATATATAAAAGTTATCAGAATTTATACAATCAGTTATAAGTAATTATAAAAAAGGTTATAAATTATAAATAAATAATTCATTATATAAAAGACATATAGTTACCGTGAATATAATTTGGTATAACTTTAATCTCAACTTTAATGACCTATTCAAATAGAAACATCTTACAATTCACATTATATAATACACAAAGCCAAGGGACAAAATTGTTATTAAATCTATTCTCGATGACTCGAAGCATTTTTTTTTCAAATAAAACAGGACATATAGGGCTTATAAATAATACAAGGGTATAGAAAATATATAAATAAGTAAATACAAATATATTTTCAACCTAATGATTAATGATTATACTCGTTTAAATAAATAAATGATCTTTTTAAAATTACTTGTTTGTCTTTGCAAATTTGTATATTTAATATTTATCTAAAAGCGTACACTTACATAAATTACTGCACAACCTTTAAAATTAAGCTTTTAATATGTTATACAAATTCTTGATTCGATATAAATACACTTAAATAAAACTTTAAAATTAATGATCTTCCAAATTTCTGAGACAGCCATTTTGTTGAAAGAATTTGTTTTGATTATGAGAAATTTCATAAAAATTATCACAGGGATTAATTAATCTTATATATGAAACTACTTGGCTTTTAAATTTCACAATCCTATCGTCCAAAATACTCTAAATTCGCAAAAATCCGTAAATATTCCCATAAAAACAAATCACAATTCACTTCCACTTCACAGAAACTGACAGACATTGCCAGATATGGAATGACGTTTATTTTTCAATTTATTTTACTGATCTAACTGATCCGGGTCACTTAGAAATTAAATTTTTATTAAATTATTTAATTATAATTGTTTCTGGCGAAAGCAACTTCATATCAATGTTTATTCATAGGGTAACAAAGCACATCGCTGTAAAATTATCAACATTTTATATAAATATTTATATTTTTCAACTACTCCAACTACTCCAATTACTCCACAGAGAATCAAACGAATTGTTAATTAAACTATACTCTGTGTACTCTGTGGATGACTTGATAAAATCATGATGAAATTAAAGTCCCTAGATGAATATCTAGGGACTTTAGATGAAATTTCTACGCAGCGCCATCTATCCCTCTACTGGCAGAAACTCCGCCGTGTTTCCAAAATTCAAATGGCAGTTTCATCCGCCTGGTGTCAGATAGAGAATAGGCGCATTCAGTAAACACACCGGTTACTCCCAAGTTGAAGATTAATTATCGAATTCAAGAAAACGCTAAAAAAGTTGGAGTGGACTGTTTATTTACAGTACGTCTGTCCGTTCTGTGGCTACGAGGTATCCGTGAGAGGGGAAACGATATATTCTCTCAATGTTTTTCGTAAAAAATTAGGCGACGCGTCCCATCAATAAAAATTCGAGAAATTTGCAAATAGCCAATAAAATGAGTGGGCGGAGCGATTTGCGGTGACGTGCTCGTCAAGTCGACGTATAAAATATATTGCTGTTTATTTAAATGTTTTTTGTCCGCATTCCTTTCATAGACACAGATCCACCAGACGAACTGTACCTATGAAACGTAACTCCTGGCTCTTTCTTATCGCTGCTGCTTTTACACTTGAAAGCTGAACAACTAATCACCATTGGGTATTACCCACCATTGTAATAAAGTTTATACAAAGTTTACTGCACACAAACTATTAAAAATCGCTAAAATTGTCGCTGGCGACCAAATGATGACTCATTGTTTGCCACCAAAAGAAAGGTCTCTAAGGTCTCTGCTAAGGTCATAAATTCTGCTGCAGCCCGCATAGGGGCGTTACATGTCCTTATATTCTTTAGTCATTGGTTTTAACTAGTGATGGGAATAATCGAATTATTTTCACCATCGACAGAGCCATCGAATAATTAGTAAATAATTCATATTTCACAATCGAATTAATAATTCGAATTATTTAGTAGTATTATAAATTTAACCTAAAAATAAATTCGTCCCAGCTAGTGCTCGTCTAGGGGCTATTTTAAACAAATCTGAACCATTGCCATACCTATATTCTATCACTGAATAAAAAAATTAAAAAAAAATTCTTTATACAATGTATTCTATTAACTGTGCCGAAGCCGTTTAATAAATTAAACCATAATTTAAAGTTTTAAATTTAAAAGTGCCGAGTTTATGATTGTTTCAATTCCTATTGAAAAGCTCATATCTAAAATAAAAGCTTCTTCTAAAACGATATAAGTATGTCCTTGTTTACGTGCGGTTCGTATTTCATTTTATTTTATCAGTTGCAATCAATAATTATTTATATAAAAGAAGAAAATTAATTTTAGTGTTCGGTGAAATTTGGGTGGAGATGATTATTTATTATTATGTTATTATTTGGAGTGGAGATGGAAATGAACCAAATAATAGTAGTATTCCTTCGTTCTGAACGAAATGAAAATTTTCACTTAAACTGATTTATTCCTACGTGGTATAGGAAATAACAATGATTTCTGGATTTTTCTATATCGGATCGTTCCTTTCTTTGCCGATTCCCTTTATAAATCAGTTTAAGTGAAAATTTTCAGTTCATTCAGAACGAAAGAATACTACTAATAGTACTATACTAATAGGCTTGTTCCATCATATCCTATTTGTATGTTTTTTAAACGTTTTTGGATACTACTTATTATAATAAGTGCACCATTAAAATTTCAAAACGAAATCTTTTGCCGTTTTCGAGATATGAGAGCTTAAAGTTTGTAACGGCTAGACGAGGCCACGCCCCCTCGTGACGTAGTTCCACTACGCCCTGTGACTACGCCCGACTTCGGCCGTCAATCAGTTCGTAACGGAAACACTCATCTGAATTAATGTGATTTGTCATTTTATCGTTATTTAGACTATTTCGTTGGTTTATTTTCACAAGATGCATTCGGTAGGAGAAGGGTTCAATAAAGCTGATTTGGTCAATCTTCCAGAAGCGGACATTTTTATGATAATGGATTATTTTAATAAAAATAAGGAGTTTATTAGTTCAGAAATGAAGGAAATAAAGTTACGGTAATGGTGTGGATCCGGTGGCTGACCTTGAAACGAGTTTCTGCTGCATATAGTCACAGACACTACGCATGCGCACATCTTCGATGTTGCCAGATTGTAAGTTATTTTGGAATTATTTTCAGTAGAAAACAAATATGTGCTTTTCAGTATTTTTTGTCAATATATACCGTATGATCGAAAAAACGGCGTCCAGTTAACTAGGAAATGAAGATTGAGGACATTTCCCATATAAAATGACAGCGATCTTCATTTTGATAGTCATCGCTGACGCTATTTTTTTTTTCAATCATAGTACGCGGTATATTATTTATATCAAGGATTTATATTATTATTTTAATATTTCGCACAACACGTGAACGCTTATTATGTATTTTCATAGTCAATAAAATTAAATAGAAATAAAACTCTAGATTCCTACTATATTAATTAATCTAATTGCTCTAAATTATTTAGCTACGTTTAAAAAGGGCTTTATTAAAAATTCGGGAAATTATATGTCCAAGTTTTTCCTTTTTTTTTAATTTTTAAATGCTGTAGCTCCATGTCATGTTCATAATAGGTTTTCTGCTACTTTAAGATTTCTCTATTCTTACACCTAATTTATGTGATTTTCTTAGCTATAATATGATTTATAAACCATATTTTTCCTAATGGAAGGATGTAATAGGATATGCAAAATTAAGATATTTTAACATTTATTTTCCAGACAAAGCATAATATAGTATTAAGATTAAGACATAATAAATATTATAAGAAAGATCTTAATATAAATCACAAACTAAGTCTTAATTTGGTCTTGTATAAGCACAGGTAGAAAACTAATAAGATCAAAACTCAACCTTCACCATATTGTCAAGATTTGGCATTATAGGAAACAAGAAATTGCAGTAAATTAAGAAAAGAATATCAAAGTACACGATATTAAATACTGTAATGTATTCTACGACACAAAACATCTCCCTTCTAAAGAGAAAAAGATAAAACATAAAGCTTATTTTAGTCTTATCAACACTCTTCGATAAAATATATGTCTAAACTTGCTATTAATCCACTAACTTGATATTTTTAAGAAATTATATGATACAAACATTACAATCAAAGTATATTATATTAGTAACATTATAGGTAAAATATGTTAC